TTCACCTGTGACATGTTTTCAGCCCTAGCCAACTCCTGCTGCAGCTCTACATGTGCACAAAGACATGCCCCCCTTTCATTTCCATTTTAAACATTACATGAGGCAGTGAATCTTTCTGCCTCTATGATTATCCCAGCAAAGACAATTTCTTCCTCCTTTTGCTCCTGTCTCTGAGCAAGGAGATACCAAAGACCTTGCAGCCACATATAACACGTTTTTCCCCCTTTAAATACAGATTTTGTTTGAATCTTGCAAAACTGCTTTTATTTCTTGTAGCTAGAACATTTCTGTTCAGAGAAACACTGCTTGAAGCTACCCCCATACCCACCCAGACAGCCTCTTGCAAATTCAAATTCCAATGAAATTCGGAAAATGACTCATTCTTGGTATTGCTTTTGATTCGCTGACGTCTTTACTTTTTTATACTGTGTTTTCCAAATACAATCCACTAAGAATTGTCTTGTTTTCCCTCTAGGTTCCACCCTGGTTCTGCACAGCAGGGTACAGAGCTCGAACCACTTTTCCAAGTCTGTAATTTTTCAAGGCATCACAAGTCAGGATGACCCAGGAGACATTTTATTTCTCCCTTTGGGGCCTCTGACTTAAAGATCCCACAAACCTTCCAGTATTCCTTGACCTTAGAAGTCTCAAAGCTCTTCCAGATGATACAAAGGCGATTTCTCAAGTTGTTTGTTTGTTTTTTTTTTTTTCTAATTTTTCTAAGGGACTTCAGGCATATCACTGTGTGTACCAAGGCAGCCTGTGGCAGTACCTGCAGGGTCAGTGCTCCCACCAGGCACAGGCATGAGAGGAAAGATGCTCTGTGACTCAGTCTGGAAAGAAGTGGTAAATGGTAAGGAGGGCTGCAATATGATAAACAGAACAGAATGTATTTTGTACATGCCCTTGACTTATTTCAAAGGTGATGAGTTTGCAGTCACTTTTCATATGCAAGTCTTCATTTCGGAACTACTGATGCTGTGGGGAATACCACACAGCACATTTGACCATGACACACATTTTTTTGTTCTTAGACTCCCAAGTTCACAGAGAAAATCCTTCAGATGTGGCTCAGTTTTCAAGGACAGAAAACCCTCACGCACTGTCACCAAGTGGGCAAAAAACTTGCACCTATGTTCACCAACAGGCTCAGGGTGCAAGAGGCAGCCCACAACAGGTCAGGAACACAATCCTGCTTTAGTGCCAGAGCTCCAGGGGAAGAGTTACCATCTCTTATGTCCTTCTCTGTAGAGATGAATAGACACTGAAGCAAATTCATGTGGCTCTCAGAATACACAGATATCACACTGCTTTTTGAAAAATAGATTTCACCACTACAAATGAAGCCTCAAAATGTTATACCCAGAGCACTGGCATCTGTGGAAGCAGAACTATTTCTTCACATGCAGTAAACAAGTTTTTACACACAAAATTAATTCTTTGTCCCAGAGCTGGTCCTGGGGGACCAAAGCAACCCATGTTGCTACTAGCTCGGTGCAAACCCAGCAGAGGCTTTGGCAAGGCTTCCCCACACGGGTGTCTGAACTGGAGTGCTTGAAGGGATTCCATTTAAGGCACAGCAGGGATTTCACTCTGGCTTTCCCTCCGGCTCCTCACATTCAGCTCCTGCCTTTGAAGGCAGCCCCTCTTCCCACAGGCCACAGTGGGAACAAACCCTGCAGCTGCTGCCACAGCACTCCCCAGGGACATGAAGCCCATTGTCAGGAATGTGCTGCCAGGGGTGCCACACAGAGGGAGCCCAGGGAGCTCAGCATCCCTCGGAAGGCTCCCAGCACCTCCTGTGGAAGGGGAGCAGGAGCAGGAGCTGGCAGCCAGCCAGTAAATGCCTGTGGAAATCACCGTGAAACAACAGCTCAAAATAGGTTTGCCATCTGGGACAGGCCAAGAAATGACTTTGGATCCAGGTAATAGGCCTGGCTTTTCTTCCAGGCAGGAGTGAAAAGACTGGAGGAGAAATAAGAACTGCAAAGGAAAGTAAGAACTGAGATATTATCTGAAGGAAAAGATCTTCTCCAATAGGTTGAGGACTAAGGTATGGAAAGTATGAAAAGATGGGAAGCTTATTGCTCCTGTCACACCATCCCTGATTAGACTGGGAGTGGAGAAGGAAAGAAAGGGCGTTCCCTTAAAAAATGTAATTGAGTGAGACATAAATCAAGAGTCAGTTCACTGGAGTAAATTAAGGTTGACTGCTGTGAAGAGTGAGGAAGTGAAAACCTTTGGTTGGCTGCCCAAGGGAAGGGAGGAGATAAGATATGAGGTAGGTGATGAAAGGGATACAGAGGCACAGAAATGTGAACAGGTTAGAGCTGATAAAACATTGTGCTCTAGGTCCTACTTTTCCCATTTCAGTGGCTTGCAAGTGTGAGACAGAGATGACAAAAGAGCCTGCAACAAAGAGAGACACAAGGACCATTTTTCAGTTATAAGCTTTTTCTTTTTTAGAATTCAAGCTTACACAGTTATCTATGCCCACTATATTCATAATTACATTTTAATATCTGCATACAAAAGCTATGTAAAAATTATTTTCTTCCCCAAATATACAAATTTTCTCTTTAGATAGTTTAAAACATTTGTGATCACAGATTTTTTTAATATATTTTAGGCTGAAAAAATATTACCAATCTAGCATAACTCTTAACACTGTTTGCAAAAAAATACATCATCCAAGGTACTTTGTTTTTTACTGTATGGTGTAATGTTTGTCTTACCCTCAGGGCATGAAACTGATATAAAAAAAGAAAACAAGTAAGCAAAACCCACAAACCTCATAGACAAAATAGTAAGTCCTCCCAATCAACTTCATAAAAACAAATAAACAACCCAAACCACCCTCCTCTTTTAAAAAATTATGAATGACTAATTTGATGTATTTATGAGCAAACTGAAACTGTAGAGTGCTAAGGAAGTAGGAAAAGAGAAAAAGAAATTACAGTATGTCAGCTAGTTCATGCCCTGATACTATCTTTACCAACATTAAATGTGTAATTAAATAAAGTGTCTTTTAATGTTTTACATTGTGCTCAGTAATTTACATAAATTTAATCCACACCTGGGTGCTGATGTAGATTTACATTTGATTGTCTTGTGCATAAACAAGGTTAGCTTTTAAAGAAGGTAAACTGTGCAATGGACAGTCACAAACAACTTATTACCTGCACAATATTGCTTTTTGAAGGCGACATTAGTCAATGTGGATACACACAAATAATGCATACTCTTTGCGTTTGCTAACATCTATACTAAAACTCTGTGATAAGGCCAAACCTTTTTTTTTTGTTTTGTTTTTAATTTTAAAGCAAAAATATACCATAGTAAAAAAAACAAAAACCAAAAACGTGCTTACACCGTTTTGAGTCTTTAAGTGGAAAATAAATCTCTATCACACTAGAATAAAATTCTCTCTATAAAATTTAAATACAGATCACTTCATTACTATATCAAAAGGAAACGTCTGGCAATCATTTCCAGATGATCACAATAACAAGACACATTAAGAGGTTCTGTTGCCTCTTCCTTTGTGAAAAGATAAATGTTGAACACTTTCAATTGCTCTCACAGTGAGAGGAAAACGTTCCTTGGTTGTGGATTTTGATTCTGTCAATGAAAAAGGTTTAGCCTTAGGAATGCTGGCTACATCTCAAAACCATAAGACTGATTTTTAAAATTTATGATTCATGCAGCAAGAAGTCAATATGACACATACAGATTAGAGTTCCATAGCATAAAAATACATCACTAGCAATGACATGCTCTGCTTGTGATTAACAGCCCTCTCTTGGCAGATTTCTGATATAAATGGTCTTTCTGGACAGTTTTTTCCTCTTTCTGATAACTGCCTCTGAGGAAGCAAGCAGTCTGCTCAAGGATGATTTTGGACCTGGGAGGTCTAACTCTAACGTCTACATTTTGGCAGAATGTAAACAAAAAATCATTAGCACGCACTATATATGTTATAATAAATATCACAACTTAACTGAGATTACACATGAAATGAGTATCTAAATGCACATGTTACTCAGGGCAATACCATGAATAGTGACAATCAGGTTTGACAGGAAAAACCTTCTGTGTAAGACCCACATGTAGACCACACAGCAAACATGAGAGCCATGTGGCACCAGCAGAAACAAGACTCTGGACTGCACTGGAAAGCACAAGTTTGTTATTTTACTCAGAAGGCCAGTTACTACAAGGGGTGCTGACTGTGGCACTGGTGTCTGCCACCGAGGTGGTCAGTCCAGGGGCTCAATCCCACAATGGCTTGAGACCACTGATATTTAGAAGTACATCTTTGCAGAGCTAAGGTCAGTTAGTTTTGCTCTCACAACCCCATAAATCAGCAGTTGTACTGAGGAAGTAAAGGAAGTGACACAAAGTAAGACTGGTAGGAGATCAGAGGCCATTAGATGTCAGTACATCAAATCTGTCCAACTACGAGCCTGGCTTTAGTTTTCAGTTACAGAATACTACTAACTCAGTCTGTTAATTAGTGCCAGACTCCAACTTAACCTGAAAAGCTAGAAAAACATGTTGATGTATGTCCTTTCTGCTTAGAGCACTGCCAGAACTAAGTTGGATGCCTGATTTTAGGCACTTCAGTCCATCTGCAATCACGTAAGGAAGGCGGCCTGATTTTCTGAACCCTGACTAAGCACAACTCCAAATGGCATTTGTATTTTGGAACAAGAAAAGATGTGATGCTTCCTCTCCTGGGTCTCACCTGCAGCACAGTCAAAAGCCTGAATGCCTACTCAAGCTCACATTAGGCACACAGGTGAGGTACTTGCACTGGCTTCAAGAGGAATTCCATGCTCAGATCCATGGCAGAACAGGACTTCAAAAGACAAGCACATTTCTCTTTTCTTTTTCTTTTCACATTTCCTTTTTCTTTTTATGCCACTGTGGGCATAGGCACTGATGCCTAAGCTTTTCATATATTTGTCATATATTTGTAGCTTTGTAGATTTCTCATACATGGTTGTAGCTCCCAGTTCTTTTCCCACCCCTCTTCCCCTACATTTTAGACCAATAAGACAATCTTCTAAGACACATTATGCTACATTCCTGAAATATATTTTAGTCCTGCCTCTTTAGCCAAGCATGTCTTATTTCCTTTTACCATGTATCCTAGACATAATAAATATGGGGCTAGAAACTCAGGAGGGGTTCCAAATTGGCAGAACCAAAAGGGGAGATTACTTAACTAGTGCTCTTTTAATTGGACGCTATTGTTAAACATGCTAATTTATTAAACTTATAAAATTGTACAAGTCCTGTATCACGTGTGCATTTTGCCATATTTGCCCCTGGAGGTCTCCAGTTCTGCTTTTATATTCCTTGCTATATTAATATTGTCTTGAAAGTGTGTTGTTTTGTTCTAGATTGTGAAGGCATCAGTGCAAGTAAGGGATTGGCTGCTTCTCTGAGTTCCCTATTACATGCTGTAAATCCTTCATCAAGTCATCCCAAATCACCTATCCAAAAAGCCAGTTTCTGACTCTTTGTCTCCAAGACAGTGCTCTACAAGGAATTTGGATAGAGATGTTGTTTAGACACATGCTTTAAGATGGAGCCAACACAGCCAACAAGAGAAGTTCTACACCAAGTATTTAAGAATTAATCTCCAATGGTGTGTCTTCACTGATACCTGCAAAAAAACTCCTAAACACCCCAATGTATTTCATGTTCTGACAAAAAAACCCTAAGTGCTCATAGCTCATCACAGGTGCATATGGTATCAAACACCAGGGAGAATAAGATTCCACATCCCTAAAAACATGCCCCATAGCACTCCAAATGCTTTATCAATGATGTAGGGAAAGGAAAGTAGAAAGAATTTAACTCCTGATACACGTATATCGTATTCCATCTGTAAGTTTTCCTGAGTATCCTGTTTTCTTGAGGGGTTAAGCACATAACATATGGGTTCAGATATGGGCCATGAGCTTTGAAAGTCAACACATCCACTCTAACAATGCCCACAACTTGCTGGGCAAATGGGTCAATAAATAGCAGAGAAAGAAATGAGTACAAATCAATGCACAACATGAAAGAATATAAGGTATGAGGCAATGCACAAAACATGAACTAAGTCTCTGGTTCCCAGGAAGAACAGCAAGATGTTTAGATGTGTCACACAAATTCAGAGGATCGTTTAATATCAAGTTTATAAAACCCAGGGACATCCCTGAATGGAGATGGTGGCAGAGAGGAAACTCTACCTACATTGTCCTCATCACTGGCCTCCAAACATTCCAGGACAGCGAGTACTGGCTTGCAGACTTCGGCAGCAGGACATTTTGTCATTGCTCAGTTTGGTTCCTGCTAGTGCAGTTAGTGGAAATAAATTAAAAGAATCAAGAGAGCATCTCGCCTAAGGAAACACATAAAGACACCTGTAGGGAAGGAGAACTCAGCTGATCCACACACACATACACACAGAGAACAGAATCAGAGAAAGAGAGAAGATAAAAATATGGAAATATGTTTAAAACATCTGCTGAAGATTTGTAATTATATATATATAAAATTATATATATACGTGCATATAAACTTTATATATATATATATATGTATATGTATCAAACAAAGGATTACTGCCGAGCAACACTATTTGTATTACTGGGATAAAGCTCTACAGTCTTGAGTGTTGTTAATAACACAGTTGGTTTCTGTCCCATCTGAAGGTCACCCCGTTGTCTTCATTCCGTGAGCCCTCATGTCCCTGAATAACTCTGAGACACTGCCTGCTATCCTGACAGAGAGCCTTCTCCCTCAAAGTGATGGATTTTCCACACACCTCAGAAAAAGCAGACCCCTTCACTATCAGGAAAAGCACCTCAGAGGATCAAATTTCCCTCCTCACTCCAACAAACCTTCCAGTGAAGTTACCTGGAGTCTAAATTTAGTAACTGAAGACCTTAGTATCTTATACACATGGAAAAAAAAAAAAGACTCAGTCCCTTCTAACACTCTGTATTATTTTAAGTAGTTGATTTGTGGGGCACAGTTAAACTGCATCTGCTGGAAAAAAACCTCAGAAAGCGATGGGATCATGATGACGATGATGAAGATCCTAGATCATAGTGGTAATTGTTACAATAGAAACAATCACAAAGACCGGAAATTTCATATTATGAATCGGTCAGTTGTACCCTGCAAAAGGAGGTAATACAAGACAGAATTGTCAGGATCAAATTAACAATAGCTGTTTTAACTTGAAGGCCAATTTATTTTTCTGCCACTTCAATCTCTCTCCCCTATTTTCCAGGCAATGATGGGTGTGAGCTGGTGACCACGCAAATGCTGGTGAATGAGATTGGTCTGTTCGTATTTTCACTGTTAAGCTGTCAAAGCACTCACATCAAAGGACTGAAGAACAAATTGCAATAGTCACAAGTACCCGCATTAAAGGAATGTTTTCATCCATGTGTATACAACTGCCCCCCAGCAACCCCAAAAGAAAACCCAAACAAAACCCCAGCCCTGTCTCAAGAAACAGAAGACCACGAAAGAAGAAGAACAAACAGGTGAGAAGAGCTGGGCAACGGGATGAAATGACAGCCAGTAGTGCGACAGGGGTGTGGAGAACCACTTCAGTCTCTCTAATCCTCAAACACTTCCAGGAACAACGGAGGGAACAGTTCTGTGGGGCACTCCACCTTCATGTGCAGGAAGCGGCTGGCATGGCAGGCTCCGATCATTCGCAGGTCTGTCACTTTCATCAGCAGTTTTGGCCAAAAGTGTGCAACATGGTGTTTTCTGTAATTAATGTAGTGTTCAAATGCCAGGAGGAAACCCTCTTGACACTTTTCTATTCTCTCGACGCAAACAAGGCCTGGGCGATCTGTAGGTACAAAGCAGCAGAATAAGCATTCTTACTTATTTGCTTTAACAAATGCCTGACCATAAATCATGAAAAATAGGATGATTCTGATGCTAGGAAAGAAAGGAGATGGACCAGGGACATTTGTGACTCTGCCACAAACTCATTCCAGCCAACTCACTTATTAGTACTATCCCTGTTAAAAGAAGAAGATAATCCTTCCTTTCCTCATCCTTTGCCAGCTTTTCTCACTTAGAGTGAGCTGTTTGGGAAATATTTCCTTACAGTGATTAGAGCATCGGATCCCTGATTTCACCTAAGGCTCCTATCTACATTTTTCTGTAAAACAACTAATAAAGAAATTTTAAAAATCCTTGTCAGATATCTAAATTACAGTTCCTTTCTATCTGTTTTTCTAAAATCTGACCAATGGTTTGATCATGCTTTGATCCCAGGTGAGCTGTTATGGAGCATCAAGGAACAACAAAGGCCAAAAATCTGACTGTCTCAACGGGCACTCAGATGGGGACTGGGAAAGACCCTTTGACAAGTCACTTCTCAGGAGACATTTCTGGGAAAGCAGGTCCTTTTTGAATTGCCTTTTGAAAACCCTGCTCCTGCATTACTGTGTAGGGACCTAAAAAAGAATCAAAATGTTTTGATGGGGAAGATGAAGTGCTGTATTTTGATTAATGTGGAAACCTTTTTATCTCAGATGCAGTTAATGCTTGTAAATCACTGATTGTGTATTGTTATTCAGTGCCCAATCTTCAAAGCCATCTTAAAATAAAATCTTGCCAAATCTGTCACTGCCCAAGAATGGAATTTCCTCTTTGGGCTGGCAGGATCACTGGAAGCATATTTGAAAACATACTCAAATTGAGAAGGTTAGAAACTCTTTGGAAGTTGTTTGTGCTGCTTTTGTACCGGTTGCAAACGGTCCCAGTGTTGGGAAACAGCACAGCTCATAAATGCCCATTAGGAAGCAGTGATGCTGTTAATTAGGAAAACAAGAGGGCAAGTCAAACTAAACATGAGACTTGTGGAAATGTGTATGAATGACCAATGCATGACATTACTGAGAGGAAGAAGGAACTTATCATAAGGACCAGTGTTGCTAAATTACCCATTTTTCATTTAAGGCAAACTGATTTTTTCTTGATGATCATCCCTGGCTCATTCCTAAGTACCAAACCAAGCAAGGTGTGTTACCAAAGCCACTTCTATGTCCATCTCTCTGAACACCCTGAATTTCTTTCCTAGTGTTCACCAAAATAAATCACTGGGGTTTCATAGGAAAAGTTCTCCCACATTACTCCAGTCACCACTACAAGATCGAACCTATCTTATTTCTTTTACAAAGGGGCTTGTGACAAAGACCAAAGAGTTTCAAAATTGTTTGGATCCCAATATATTTCTGTCCTCACCTGATGACATGAGCAGAACAGCCTGGAGAAGGGCAACCTCGGTGTCATCCAGGTTAAATGAAGAAAGAGACATGCCCAGGTCAAAAATGGCATCAGACACTACGCCAAGACCCCCATTTTTCAGCTGGCCCCTTGTCACCGCCATCTCCCCATTTAGTGTTAAAGTCTCACTTTCGGGGTCATAGCGAACTGCTGCTCGGAGGGACATGATCTCCATACAGCAGCCTTTCAGAAGGATGATCTGGTCTTCACATGGCAGCTGCAGAAATTATAAAATGGCAAAGAAAAAGTAATGTTTGTCAAACTGAGTGGCTTTTGCAACAACAATAAATCCACAAGCCAAGAATTGCAGTTCACAGCCCAGGACACTGCCCCATATAGTGCAGCTCTCCTCCAAACACGCTGCTCTGCACAAACCCCCAGGATCTGCGTTCCTGCCTTCAGGAACTGCCTGCAGGTTAACATTCCCTGGTTAACATCCCCACATACCCTTAGGAAATGTAGCAATAACACAGCTGTTGGCTCCCTCAGCTTACAACCTATCATCGTAGAATAAACTATAACTGGGGACCTCAGCTATCCCAGTTAAATTCACTACCAGTCATACTTATTTCTTACCTGGCCAGAGGAAAAGAAAGATATTTGGGAGGGTCTGTAAGAGTGGACTGTGTTTTAAATAAAAGGAATTATAAATGTTTATATCTAGAGGACATATCTCCATCAGTGGAGCAGTAATTCTCACTGCCCATTTTAACAACAGAGAATTTATTAATCTATGCTTTATCTAGTAAGGCTGTTTTCCCTGAGCTCCCATATTATTGCTAGACAGACAGAAAATCTATGGTATAACTACAGCTTTTATATTGGTGCATAAGCTGTGATCTTCAGGGCATGTGTCTTTTCCATGTCATTAACAAAGGCAAGCTGTCCAAATTGTTTAAATGTAGGTTCTGTATTTACAGAGTATAACCAGGATGCTGACACATGAGCAGAACATGTTCTATAAAGCATGTCTTTAGTTTTCACAGGTTATTCAACAATAACAAAACTCACCAAGACAATTTTGAGACTGTTCACATATGCGAACAGCGAGGGTCCCACATATGAAAGAGCAACACACTTCTACTTGGCTTGAAAGGAGGCAAAAAGCCATTTATTTTTGATTTATATAAAATTATTATATTTACCTGCTTTTCAATTCAAAATGAAACCCCCATGAAATATAGGTTTACATGGCAACGATGTACTTCCAAAGCAAGAGAACCGATTTGGTGTGAAATGATGCAGAGCTACCTAATGCAAGTGAAAAGCAGTTCCCTGTTAGAGAAGAGGTTTAAGCACAAAGCTAGCCATGGTCCGGAAAATGAGTTGAGTCATGCAGCTACTTTTCTAGCAATGCCAGCTTCAGGTGTGAAGTGTTTAATATACAAGAAAATTGACTCATCCTGTTCAGAGCAAATCAGTTTTCCTACAGATGACCCTCAGCTCAGCAGTAGTGGGGAGAAGACTGCACAGGCACAGCAGCAGTCTTGCTACCCAATGACGATTCCACTGCTTGGCAGCAGAGACTGAAGTAGGGAAAGAAACGGAGTTAAAAAAAATTAAAGTGAGAATAGATATGTGAGAGGAACCATGAAGAGATACTGGAATAAGCAATGGCCGTGAAAAAAAAGACATGAAAGAAAGGAAGAGACAAGGGACAAGAAAAGAGAAATGAAAAAAACACCAAGCCTCTAAATAGAAGGAAGAATAGTAGAAAAGAAACAGATAACAGTAGAGAAGATATTTTGTGATACTTCGGCTGTTTTACTAGTGAGCCATGAAACTAATGAGGATTTCTCTTTCTACTTGATCCTTCTTAAAATTTCTTTATGTTAGTGGTGGTCTGACTATGCCTATCTGTCTCCCGCTTTCCTGATTCTGAAGGATACATGGGGCACCTGCTCAGCAGATGCCAGACCTCAGGCATTATCTGCCAGTAGCAGGAGTTACCAGAGACAGGATTGAACATCAGTTCTACTCCCAACTGTGCAGATTTTAATGCTATCTACACTCATTACTTGAGTGTTGCTACCAGAGCATCTTTCAGTTCAGGATCAACAAATGTGACTGAAACTCTGCTGTGGGTTGTCCTTTCCTCTCTCTCTGTAGGGAGAAAGGAACCTGAGGTGCTCACCTCTTCAGGACACATGTGCAATGCAGCACCATGGAATTGAGCTGAGCTGAGCGACCTCAAAAGGTATTTACACAGCTTCACCCACTGTGGAACCACTGATGCCTTGACATTTAAAACTCACACCAAACTTATTACATTCTCTTCAATCTTCATCTCTTAAGCAGAAAGAAAAGCAGAACGGAAACAACAGAAGAAATGCTGAGAAGGAAATGAAGTTTTCCTTATACTTTGATTACTCAGGGATTGGATACTTGTTTTCAGGCAAGGGCCAGTGGATGCACACAAACTGACCTGGGCACTCACAGTGCTTTGCTGGCTTCTACATGTGTCCAAAGATGTGAAAAAGAAGGAAAAGTAACCATGAAAATATAAGTGGCCATGGATGTTCCCTGTCATGTCCCTCTTTCATAGAGATTTACTACATTCTCAGACAGATTCTGGAATTACCAACTGAATTAATATTTAAAAGCTTTTCAGGTCCTATGGAAAAATGGAATGTTTTTTCTCATAAAAAATCTACAGCCCACACAGTGTTGCTTCTAAGAAAAAAGATATGGGTTAAAAATCATAATATAAACAAAGTTAGCAGGAGGGTGCCCCTTCAAAAAGGAGCAAGCATTTGTCATTTTCTTCATGCAACAGCAAATGCTATAGGACAACACGGAGGACAGCTGTCCTACTCCTTTGTGTTCATGTGGAGTTGTCCCTCACCCTGCCATCAGGTCTTGCTGTATATGGGCAGGTGTCAGGTTTACACAGCTGAGCCACATAACATACAGAGGTCATGCTCAATGGTGCCTTGACTTCTTCATCCATGCTTCCTGCCCAGCTCCGACACAAGTGGGCCCATGGTAGCCAGGAGGGGTAGGAGATGTCAGATGGGCACTGAAGTCTGTGTGTGACTGGCAGAGCTTTCTAAATTAAAAAGACTACCTTGGTGTGTCACTGCAATTTCCCACCAACAAATGCCAGATCAGAGGAGACAGATTCCCTCAAATGCTAAATGCTGCAGGGGCCTCATGACCTCTGGACATATTCCTCGTATTTTAAAATCTTCATGCTTGGCTACTATTTCATGCTTCCTTGACTGATGGCGCCAATGAAGAGACTGACCAGGGTGAGATATTTACACTATGACAACTATTGATATTTACCTCTTCTTGTTCTGTACTTGCCAGAGGACATATACAGCTCTCCCTGACTGACTTTTCTTTAAAAGCTGTCAGCCACAGTATAGTAAAATGTTATGGCTGCTTTACCCTTCCTTCCTGGTAGGGTGTTGACCTCTAAGGGCGCAATGGAAGGTGCTCCTGCCAATGGCAGGGAGATTGGAATCAGATGATCTTTAAGGTCCCTTCCAACCCAACCATTCTATGATTCTATGAAAACTATTTAGATTATTAAGACTGAAATATTATTTCAGGCTGCAGTTCTGATACCATTTATTAAATCAGAGAAAAAGAAAATATAATCAGCCATTGCATCTGGTCCTTCAATAAAAATGATACCTTGGTACAAATAAGTTCAGCGTAAGGCCTCTGTACTCCTAATGTGCAACCAGGCCTTTGAGTCTATTTACTGTATGTTTACATGTGAGTATCTACCTGGAATGACAATCCATTACTTTCACAGACTCTTTTATACACAACCTCCCCACTCAGGAAAACCAAGCCTAGAGAACCCAGTGAGGCACGTGCCACTCCTGGACCGGGGTGCTTTTTTGAATTTGAAGAATTTTTTACTGTGTAGACCCAACTCTACAATAATGTACCTGCCAAGGAACCAGAAAATACATAGGGAACCATGTGCTGGAAGATTTTATGAAACATATTCACAATGCTTCTAGACAGTATATTTTTGTTCTTTGCTTTGTTCAAGGCTATCTCTAAAGACATATCTGAGTCTCTAATGAACCACAATGACTTCCAGATTAACAAACTCAGGATTTTAGCAATCACAGGAAAAAAAAATTCATAAAAATCCAGATTATTCTAGTCCCATTGATTTTTTTGAGTGTCTTTAATTTTTAAATTTTAGACACATTGAATTTTTAAGTTCCATGCCAGAATATTTTGAGTAGTTTATAACAACAGGCATATAAATGAGGAAAGCAAGAAAGTCTTCTTACCTCACAAAACATAGGCAACTTTTTGGCAAAATCCACCACTCTTGTAATCGCTGGTGTGATAATTTTTGTAAACTGGCTGAAGGCTTCTAAATCCACTTTCCCACCTTCTGGGGCATTAACTATTGGTGCCTGCCCAATATCTTCTGGCTAAGGATATAAACAAAGATATGTAAAGGAGCGGTCTGTCTTAGAGCAACTATTTTATACTCCAAAAAAGTCCTGCTTGGTGATGGAAGATATGCTAAAATAAAAAGCAACACTATTTGCTTTAGAAGTTAAGTCCATTTACATCACAAAATGTGAATTTGTAAGGCATTTGTGAAAGAGGCAACTGCACAGAGAAATGGGTGACTGGTATGCTTCTACCCGTTCTCTGTGGACAGCTGGACTGTTGTGTACACAGTTTCTTCCTTGTGTCTGTATCTGTGTATTTTATGGGTGCAGCACATGCAGCTTTTGCTTTAAAACACAGGCACGTTTTTCCTTACAGGAGTTGAAAACTCTCAAGTTTCTCTAAAGGCAAAGACAGTTGAGGAGACATGTTACCCCTGAAACAATGCTGCAAGCTTTGCAGAATTAGGCTCTTTCACCTACTCAAAGCTCGGAAAGTCTCCCCAGAACAGATTGCCAGATATCACAAGGCCCCTCCAGGGAACTGCCAAGGCCAGTTTCCAAAAGGCCAAAACAACTTATGTACAAAACAAAAACAACTTATGAGTATGCATAGGCTAACCTAAAGGAGCCCTGGATAATGTAAATAGAAATTGAACTCATCTGGGTAAAATTTGTTTGAAAATCACCTGTTGCATAATTTCAGCTCAAGGCTTCTCTTTGAGGATTTCAATAGGGATATACAATGAAAGAGTTTCAAACAGAGCCTGAAATGAGTGGTTTTTTATTCTGACTGCACTTAAACTTGGTTTTTATGCAGCTGGTCAATGTGACCATGTATTTTAAAAACAGGCACATCAAAGCTGTTTTGTTTGTTAAGTGTGGCTTTGCAATTACAAAATACCTACCAAAAAACCATGCAGAGGTTTCATTCTGTTCACATTAAGGTCAAAAACTAGATAAAATCTAGAGAAGTAGACCTTTAAGACCAATGGGCCCCATGACATTTATATAAGACACTTAAACAGGGGAGGCGCTGTAAGTGCTGTCTGTAACAAAAGCTTGTGTTCAACCACTTTTTAAAAGAAACACGTCATAAAAGATCGTTCCACAGCTTTGTAACCAATCTGAATCCAAATCTAACTTTTACAAGAAAAAACTCAGCAATGTGTTAATAAAGCAAGCACTAAGTATAAAGGAACAATGAAGAAGACTGGGCTCAATTATCCGATGGTTTCTAATAAAAAACTCAAACTCATTTCTAGGCTTCCTCCTTCCCTGAATCTTGGGTAACTAAATCACATTGTCTGTGTGCTCATGATAAACAACCTTCATTGCTTCCAAGCAAGAAGACCAAATGCTTAAACCCACGTGAACCATTGTTATGGAGAAAAAGAAAGAGCACAGCATTTTCTTGGGAAAGGCAAAGCAAGTCAGGAGAGCCAGCTAAAGCTAACACACAGGAAGAGAGCCCTTTCCACCCAACTCAAGAGGAGAAGAGGCAAGGACCTCAATGAAGTCCCTGTTGTCAAAGAACCAGCCTCAGCCACATAAGGACAGATCCACAACTCCTGGGGCAGACTGTCACCTTCTCCTGCTCTTCAGCAGTTCATTCCCACCCCCAACCTTGAGCTCCCTAAGTTTTATCCCAAACCAGCTGATATCTGAACAACAGCACTCCTGTCTAAGCAACCAAAAGTACTACTGCATCTGCTTCTCGATCTGCTCACACCTCACTCTGCAACACCCCTGGAAAATGCTCTCTTGCTTCTTGCCAGTGACGACTGGCTGTGGTTTTCTGACTGTAGAATACTATGAACATGAGCCATTTATATGAAATTTAGATGGTGTCACTGGAATTAAAAAAAACCTCCAACATTATAAAAGAGATCAGCTGCTTTGAATACACAATTTCTCATAGCAATTGAAAAGTGAGTTGAAATTCCCATGATGAACTCTGCAGTAGGAGCCTAGGCTTGCAAAAAGATAAGTGTGCTCTATCTGATTTGGTATACACTGACTGTTAAAGACCCCTGTGCATTTCTGAAATGCAGTCTCTTATCCCTCTTTTGTGCTCTACAAGCATTTTGCATTCTGCACTTCTTTCTCTTAAAAATCGATTTAGAAAAATCAAATAAATCCTTTTTTAAGGTTGAGCATCACAAATCACCATTTATTTTCTGACCCTTAGTTATAGTGTGAAAATCTAAGTTATTTTGTAGGCTGTAATCCCAATGGTATAGTGTATGTATCATCCCGTTCTCACTGAAATTAGTTTTCTTTGCCTAATTTATTTTCATTAATGTATCCACCATTAACCAAAAGAGGCAAACCCCCTGAGTTATTAACAAAAAAACCAGCTTTCATCTAGAACAAGACAATTACCCCTAGATAGAATATATGAAAAAAAGCCAGTATGCATTACAGACTGCTTCTGTTCTCAATCAGGAGTGAAACACTTTTTCTACTTTTTCTTACCATAGCACAATAAAAGTGTGTAGCTGAGTGTTACAGTTGAATAAGACTTAACATAACAACATGCTGTTTATCTTTTGAATTACATGGTCTGATCAAACAATGAGGTTCAGGCACGAAAAATGAAGTAATAACTACACAAAATCATCATTTTTTCACAAACATCAGCACACTGGCAATAAAATCTCTTTGGGATTGCAACCCTGGGAAGGCACTGCAGAAGAAAGAACAGAACATAGCTCTAAGAGCAGTGTACAAGGCTACTGCCCTTACCAGAAATTTCCTTTTCTGCTTCCAGTGGCTTCCTTGTGCATTGGTGGCCACATGTGCTTCAGTAACAATTTTGATGAGCTCCCATTCCTCATCTGTTGGCTCTGGTTTGTGCCCAATTGTTTTCTGCAGCTCTTCCCGACGTCTCTTCTCTCGATTTTCTTCTATCAGCTTCCTCTTTGCCAACCTCTTGCTGTCATCCAACACCACTAGCAGGGAAAAAAACATACAAAAATGGCAGGAAGCTCTTAAGACTGTCAGAACTTTGGTCTTTTCTGTGCCTGAGGTACCAGTTGCTTACAAACACCTTAACTAATCAGTAAGGAAGTACGTTGGCAAGACCCACAGTTGAGACAGTTCTCTTATTTCTCCCTTCAAACTTAATTTTCTCAGAAGAAAATGTCTCCTTTATGCTATTTCATTGTCTCCTTTATTCTATTTCCCTCTAGACAGAGGGCACTGTTATGCATTACATTAACAACGAAAATACTAAGTTAGACTATTTTTCTCTTGTTTACTGGGCCTGTTTTCCTGTCAGTTCTTCTGCAAAGGATGATACTGGCAACAACTATGAAGGCACAAGGGGATTTATATGACTTCTGGGGGTTTTACGTGACTTCCTCCCATTTGTAGTAATTGAAGTTATTGGTGTAAATCCCTGTGCAACGGCAGGAAAAGAAGACCCCTAAGGGTTAATCTTACAGCCATATTTTCTAGTTCTTTAGAATGAGAGTCGAAATCTTTGCAGCAGATAACTTCTTCAGGGCTAAAAATAAAACAAACAACTGCAGGATGACTCATACAATGACATTCAATTTCACATCCTCCAGAATTTTCTAAACAAGATGTTTTTATCTCAAGCAAAGTGTTCATCCAGATGCATCTCTCCCTCCTCTCCTCCAAAGAGTGACCATTCCTATTGTTACTTAGCTTGGTAAGGCCAGGAGAATGTGCAGCCTGATGAAGGATAAACAAAAAATTACAGCCCTGTGAAAGTGGTTTAATGCAATGAGTGCAATTCTCTGGTATTATTAAAACCAGAAAAGGGCTGGCAGTTCTACTTTACTTTACTTTAACAAGCTTCATCAATCAAAATGCTTTAAGCAAACACAGACACTGAAAAAAAAAATAAAGAAAACCAGGAAAATATACTTACAATCTGTTGCCATGCCAACAAAGATACATTTTTTGAAGCGACATTCCTGGCACTGATTTCTTGTTACTTTGTCTATCACACATTTTCCTTCATATTTACAGGAATAGGTTGGATGGAGGTTCTTTTGAATGGTTCTTCTAAAAAAACCCTAGGTGCAAGAAATAAATACATTAGAAAGCATTAGCACTGAGCAATTTTTAAAATTTGGGAGCTGCTTGGTTTGTTTGGCCTGTACCTAAGTATGCAAGATAACACACTTCATTCCCTGAAATTCTCAAAGGTCTCAAACCAGTTTTATAGTGTATGGCATTCCTTTTGATTTTCCTTAACAATTAAAAACATATATACATCTTAGATAAGCAAAGGTTCAAGTAATGCTGTCTTGAGGCACAAATACTGTGTACATGTCTTCTTGCAGTCTTATGTTTTACTGTGTTAGGTTTTTTAATGAAGTATTTTATTTTGAGCTCCTTTTCAAACTCCGTAATAATTTTGAAGGATATTAAAAGGCATACATATAGCTTTAATTAAAAAGCAACTTCTACAAATAGTAAGAATGGTGGTGTGTTTGTACTATTAAAAGATTGAGGACAAACAGATCCACCCCTTTCTTTCCATAAAAGCCAAATAACCAACCAATGAACCAAACAAATCTGGGCAAGACAAAGATTTTGCAAATACAGTCTGCACAGTCTTTGAGTTTGGTTCTAAACTCAAAGGATCCCTAATTTATAAATTATTTGTATTTCTGAGAAGCAGATTTAATTTGTATTTACCACAGAATTTCAAAAGCCCCATCACCACCAAAGATTAATCTATCTACCTACCTACCTATCATAATACAGATCTATATTGCAAATTTAAACAGATCCTAAGACTATATGAACTAATGCAATCCCACTGAATTGACTTATTTAAACGCCCCATAAAACTTCACTCTAGGTAACAAAATCAGATAAAATTTATCTCTCAACATTATGGACATAATCCTGGAATTAATTTCAACATGACTTTTCTCACTGACTTTTGCAAAGGCTAGATAAACTCCCCAGGACTGCAAGACATGAACAATATAGGCTGTAAAGCAGGAAATTTAGACTTCAGTTTAATTTCAAGTTTCACCATTATTTGAGACCGTCTACATTCAGCAGTACAGCTTGGGATTACCTTGACACTGAGTACACACTGACACCCTGGTCCTGCTTGATTGAGGCTGCTCAGAATGGCTTTGGTTTCAGTCAAAACAATGGCAAAATTCAAGCGAGATTTTACCTTATGAATAGTCTCTTCAGCTGGGATTTTGTCTAATGAATAGTCTCTCCACTTCAGTAGGCGAAAGGTCTGTTTTTAAATCATGTTAAATAACACCCAGTAAAATCTTACAGCAGTGCACAATTTCTTTTAACACAGAATGTTGAATTAACATGTACAGATAAGTTTGTATTTCATCTTGAACTCCTAACTCCTGTGAAGACAACGAAGAGACTTGTCCTCATTAGAGTTTTATCTTATGAGGTTCAGCTTGAGCTAAGAATACAGCTCTTTCTTCCTTAATTACGTTAAGTCCTGAAATGTTAATTAAACTGAGTGGCATCAAGCTTGTGTGTGAACCTTTGCAAGACTGGGACCAGTTGTGTTGAGATAAAATCCAGGAAATCACAGGCAAGATATCCTTATGTGGGGTTTGGAGTAAGTCTGAAACTCTCATCTACTGAACACCTGGTTTTGGTTCTGTTCCCAACCCAGTGACGAATTCCTAGAGACAGGATCTGCTCCTCCCCTTCCTGAAGACCTAAGATGGCTGTGGACAAGCAGGGTCACAGGGTTATCAATAGTTACATCATGAGATGGAAAAATCTCTAATGAATCTCAGTGAGCGAGCTTCTGTTTCCCAAATCTTTCAGGGGATTTAACGTAGATTTGATGGCAAGGGTCTCCATCACCTCTGCTGGGACAGCCCATTTCACCTTCTCATTTCTTTGCATCTCTCAGAAAAATTTTGCAAAAAACATTCGTGGTTCATGTCTAGATACACGTTATGGAAATTGTTCTCTATATCTGTCCAAACACTTCACCACAGAAGTGTTACTCTCATCAATAAAAGAAAGCACATTGTATTGCAGGCAGTAACTCTTCCTAAACTCTTTTACAATGCACCTATATAGCAGTAGATACAATAGGTAAAGTCTGCAAAAACATTTCAGTGATATCAGAACTCACTGCTCATTTATTTGTGTTTGAATTCCTCACAATTTACTCTTCAGAAATCATGTATGAAGATGCGTTGTTCATGAAAGCACTTGCCAAAGCAAATCTTTGGCTGTCAGCCCTGATTATGCTTGTTTCAAAACTAAAGTGACTTTGAGTGGAAACAACTAGTAAACATCAAATTAATTGAAAATTTATTATATATATTGTGCATTGATAAAACATTTAACTTTGCTGATATATCATACAACTTGAAAGTGTATGCAGCTCCTCCAAGAAATTAATTACTTTTTGCAAACTGTCATCTCAGTCCCTTGTGCACATAAGCATTATTTTAAATTGTACATCAGACAGAAGAACTGTATGTGAAGATAAAAGCAGATTTATATGCTCTGTCTCTAAAATAGCTGGTAGGCATAAAAAGAACTACTTGAGTTGAAGTAACAAAAGCCTTAGCAGGAAAGCTGGCAAGAGATACAGCTGTTCAGCTGGGAGCCAAGTATACTTCATAATGCCACAGTGCTGCTTACTTCCCATTATATCAGAATTAAATTGTATCCATGCATGTTATGTATTGTTATCATCTGGTATTCAGGATTCCAATGTGTAAGAATCACTTGTGCAGCTCCACAGTTTTAAAGTCATTTTAAAGATATAAGTACTTTTTTCATACATTGTATATAAGTTTATGTATGGAAACTGATATGAATATGAATCTGCTATACCTAGGATATTCAGGTCTCTGTGCCTTTCATAAATGTAACTTAGGGCAAAGATGTACAACCAAAGGAACTACTTCAATACAAGTTACTGTAATGAGGAGCTCTAAAGCCAATCCAAACCTAAAAATCTCGGATCCAAATGTTCCAGACTTTGTGGATGAACAGAATGAGACTTCTGTGGCTTAGTCTCATGACACTAGTCCAAGACATGTGTGGCCCCACTGGTTTAGAAAAACAGTAATTTTTTAATTTTCTGCAAGAAAGAATAGCTTTCTTACTGAATCTCAAGTTATTCAGGCAAATTCATGGCAGTGAAATCATGTAAGATGTGCCTGGTTCTGTTACCCAATTTTTAAATTTACTTGCCCAAAGCAATCTCTTTTTAAATTTAATTTTGCATGTAGTCTTGGAGATGCATTTTAGGGCTAAAAAGCACATTTCAATATGCTTAGGTTAAAGAAGTCAAAATGTTTTGGAAACTATTTTAATTGGGTGTCAATGCTTCCCAAACTGATGGATGTTACTGTACTATGAGCATGTGGAAAGGATTTTGATTTTTGCTTCTTCACAGAGATGGTGAGAGGCACTGGAACAATGCTAATCGCAACAGACTCTTCATGGCCATAAGCAGAACCTCAGCTATTGCATAAACAGCTTCAGTGGAGTAGCTGGGATCATGCTGATGTACTCTGGCTGAGAACATGGCTAAAGAAACATTAAAAAATGGAAATTCAAAAGCTAACTGTTAAACAGCAGCAACAACAATCTAAATTTCTTGTTTTCTTTTCAGAAGCAAACACGGCAAAACCCAACGATATTCCTTATGCATATGAAGAGCAGCAGCATGGCCAGATACAGCTTATCATCAGTACGGGATGTTCTTATTAGCTTCTAATCTGTCTTTATTTGATTTGACAGCACAGTTCAGGAAGTCTGTATAATGGAGGAGCTGGAGAGCTATTTCTGATTCCCACTTTCCCACCGTGCCGTTTACCTTGCAGCCTTCGCAAGTGATGCAGCGATAATGGTATCCGGTGGCTTTGTCCCCACATACTACACATAGCTCATCCTTGTCTAAGTAACTGGGTATATACCCTGCAAAGACAAAGAGGATGTGGCATGTAAACTCCATATAAAATTATATGATATATCTGAAATAAAAAAATAGTATTAAAATCCACCGCAGATCTTGTCTATGAGTGCTATACTTCTGAACTCACTGAATTTCCTGAATAAAAGTTTGTACTATGTTACAGACTTAATTAAACACAATCTATAAGATTTTCTGTTCTTCAGACTGATTCAGTGTCTACTGGTCAAGAGGGAAAAGTTGGAACATGATTTCTCTTTCCTGAGTGAAATGCTATGTCAGAAAATATTAATTACTTCAAAAGATTATATGTGAAAATAGTAGTGAAGGCATACAGTATATTTCTGTTCTATATATCAGAAAAAAACCTCAATACACTTGTACAGTGCAGATGAGACCCCAGGTTTCAGTGCGACTGGGGGACTTGGTAATAAGAAATATTTACTGACAGATGGTTTGTTTCAAAGCAGAGAGGTACTAGCAACATATAGCCCAAGCTGTATTGATCATGTATGACCTGGACACGTTCCACAGGAATATGTAACATAGCCTGAATTTAAAGCAAATACATGGACATTCAAATGTGTGTGTGTGTGTGTGTGTGTGCGCGTGCATATATGTGTTAGAATGAAATTTTCGCTTCTGAAGTGGTTTACCAGATCCAGCCAGTGAAAATATTCCTGCTGTGAAAAAAATTGGCAATGCTTGGTTCTTTTCCCACAATGACATTTGTTTTGAAAACACAAACATATTTTTAATTTGAGCAAAAAACCAAAACAATTCTGATGGCAAGTAAAAAGTAATTGTAACCACAGGCAACTTTTAAACAGGGTAAAACACAAGCCTTTCAAAATCAATGTTTTCATGACTCATAACTAATGGAGTTAGAGTTTGTAACTTTACCTTCTGAAAAATCTCACTGTGAAGATGTACATAGAGATCTCAGATTCCCTTTGAGGGGAGAGAGGAAAGTGCACCTATATGTATAACTGTGTAAGATCAGTGGAGTGCAGTAAACATTTCACAGAATCCCATGACGGCTGAGGTTGGAAGTCACTTCTGGAGGTCAAGTGCTCCAACACCCCTATTCAACACAGGGCCACCTAGAGCCAGCTGTCCAAGCCCATGCACAGACAGCTTTTGAGTATCTCCAGGGATGGAGACTCCACAACCTTTCAGGGCAATCTGTGCAAGTGCTCTGCTCCATCACCTTCATAATGAAAAGAAAATACTGTTTTATTACTCTCAGAAAGAATTCCCTGTACTTCTATTTGTGCTCATTGCCTCTTGTTCTGTCACCGGGAACTGAGAGGAGTCTGGCCCTGTTTTCTACAATATGGGGGATCAGGTATTCACACAGATTGATATGTCCCCTTGAGCCTTCTCTGCTCCAAGCTGAAGAGTCCCAGCTTTCTCAGTTACTCCTCATTGAAGAGATTCTCCAGTTCATCATCTCTGTTGCCCTTTGCTGGGCTTGCTCCAGAATGTCTATGTCTTTCTTCTGTTGGAGAGCCCAGAACTGAACCCAATACTGCAGATATGTTTTACTAGAGCTGAACAGAAGAGAAGGATCACTTCCCTCAAGGTGCTGGTGATGATTCCTAAAGCAGACCAGATGCCATTTACCTCCCTTGCTTCAAGGATACTCTGCTGGCCTATATTGCAACTAGCTGCCCACCAGGAACTCCCAAATACTTAAAAGCAGTTTCCTGCCAGCTGGGCCCACACTTCTGTGTTTATTATTCCTCCCCTCATGCAGAATCTGGCCTTTCCCTTTGATGAACTTCAAGAGATTCCTCTCATCCCATTTTTCTAGCCTGCCCAGGTTGCTCTGAATGGCAGCACACCCATCTGGTGTTCCAGCCACTCCTCCCAGTTTTGCATCAACTGCCAGGTGTCTGAATGGAATTTCTGAGTGCAATGAAGGAGAGCCCTTTGGATGCAGCTGCCTGTAACACTATCTCTTACCACTGGCTTGCTGAATCCAACTGCAGCACCACACATAAGCTTGCTGTCTTTATGCAGCCCTCACAGCAGTATGGGTTGGTACAGCTTGGGAACCTGGGATACCAGTCACTTGGAGGGCAACCGGCAGCAAGACTCGGGGCAGCAGAAGGCTGTTGCAGGATGCTGCAAGAGCGGTGGCCATCATCTTCCTGCAACTAACATGCCAGAGGGTCAGACAGTTTAAATTCAAGTGACTTCCTAAGGCTATGCTTCCAGAAGTTCTCCAGAATGGAAAGCCCAAATTAGACAAAACACCTAAAGTTAACTGAGCTTAAAATGATTAAACTTTATGCTGGAGGCTGATGAATAAATCAGGAGAAAATAAAGAAGGCCAAAAGTATTTGTATGGCCTAGTTTGATTATAACTATGAGAACCTGAAACTATAGAGGAACACATATCTCCATCTCTAAAAGAAGGAAGCAGTAGTACTCGAAAGCCATTCCTGTATATAGGCATCTCAGGTCTGCCAATAAGCCTATTGCCATCTGAAAGGGGAGTGGAGGTATGAACTAAGATCTTAACGTTGTGTCAAGCCAGTCTACAAGTCAGCAAAAGACCAGATTTATATTCAGGCTACATTTCTCCATGATGAACAAGTTATGCTTGGATAGACTGGTGGCCATGTGACATTGAGGGATGAGAGACAGCAGGATTTCAACTCTAATTACATCACAGACTCCTAATAGACACTGTGCCAGTGGGGGATTAGCAAGAGGCTATTATCTCCATCCTGCCCCCACTCTGCTCACACCTGCCTCTGCACATGTAACACATACACAACATTGAGCTGACAGAGTAGGCAGAAGATGCAGCAAAGAGATGCTGAATTTTCCCCTAAATTTATAATGAAAATCAATGGCTTCTTGTTATTGCTGGTTACTGCTATTCATGAAATACAGTCTTTGCACAGCATAAACTACATCCTCAAAAATTCAGTATCTCTGGTCAGCTTCCTAAAGAATTGCTTCTGAATTAGATGCTTTGATATTTCAATAATTATACAAGCTGGTTAGTGCTGCTCATGTAATGGCAACTTGTTCTCCTGGAGGAGTAGGATACCACTTGTCTAAACCACTTCCTTAAATATATACGGTAGGTCACACATGTGACCACTGCTGTCCATCTCCTTCCCAGAGTTTTGTGACTTTATCCAATATAAAAAACAGTTTCCAATTTGGCAGAACACAATTTCCTGGGGGCACTCCTAGTCAGAAATTAAAAACGGCATCCTTACATGCAACCACATTGCCAGTTTTCTTGCATCAGAAGCATTAAGTGCCACCTACTTAAGCTACCTAAATATTATGTTCAGTACTTCTGCATTCTGTCACAAAGGAAGCACACACCTGGAACTCTTCTAGTGATTCAACAGGAAACATGAACAGAAGAATCTTATTCCAAGAAATCACTGGCAACAAAGTGTTTCTATTACAGTTTTCTGTATTTTAACACTTCTTCCAACAGCTAATGGGGTCAGAAACAGCTAGAGTGGGAAGACTGGACTTTCAGTAGTGTTTTTAAAATATATAATTCAGACAGTAATCACTGCAAAAGGAGTAAGTGGATTTACATTCAGTTCTTACAACCACCAATGTCCATTCTAAGTAATTTCTAGTAGTTGCAAATATCCTGTATGGCCTCTTTATAAACTCAATACAATTGCATTTGAAAGACGTGCAGATACACAGACTCAGTACATTCTTTCTGTTTCTGAGTTAGAAACAGCATTACCAGAAGAAATACAACACTTTTTCTAAACATGGTACCAGCATGGAAGAAATGAATAGTGCAGTGCAGATTCTTGGGCAAGCCATGGATGGTAGCAGAGTTGTCTGTTAGATGTTTTGAGGAAGAGGAAGAGCAACAGACTTGTCTCACTCTTTGCACCACTATTAGTATCTTGTCTCTCATATCAACAAGTACTTTTGCTTCATGTATGTGTAGTAACACTGAAGCAAAGATAAAAATGCCTATATGGAAAAGCAGACACTGGCTGGAAAGAGTAACACTGGTTTTGTCTTACTAACGAAGAATGTCCGAAAAATCTCATGGGAACATCAGGTAGGTTCCCATTTCAGGTGGTCCTGATTCATCTTTTATTTCTTTTGGTCGAAACCTTTTTAATTAAATAGCTAAGAGGAACTGTTCAAGAGCAACACCAACCTCACTGAATTGTATAAAAACAACCAATATTCTTCCTTGTTGTTTGAAGTCTCTGCTGCATTCAGCATCCTCATGGACTATCATTTGTTGTATCCTGTATAATCCTCCAAGTCAATTATCAGTGAAGTATGACTCGACATTGTTTATCACAATGCCTACCTTGGATCTCTGTTTTGAGTGGAGAACAATAGTGAATGACCTTGATCTGCCATGTCTGGTGTTTCCCCAGTAGCCTGAAGTAACACCTATGGTCCCCCAGACTCCCACCTGCTAGTCTGCCTAATCTTTACTGTCTTGGTAAGTCTAAGCACACAGCAGGACCAGTTGCCCCTCTCTAGACAAATAATGTCATATAATCCACTATAGAAAATCTTGAGAGCAATTTAAAACAAAACAGTAGCTTTGTAGAGGCATGGCAGGAAACAATTCCCTTCAACAGGAAAATGAACAATGATTCTGCCCTAAGCAGCCATAAGGACAGAAGGAGATATGCTAACCTATGCAGTCATCTGAGGTATTCCTCCATTAACACTGTATGCATGCACTCTTGAATTACCATTTGCAGGAATGATGGCTTCAGGCACCATATATGACCCTGAACAGGCTGGAGAGACACAAATGAGACACTCAGTGGCTATTCCTCCATGCAACAAGGCAAAGAAAAACTATTTCAATTATAATAATTGAAAAATTGTAGTGCTTCTTTTTCCTCTGTACCTGGTACACATTAACAACAGCAAAAAGCATATTTTTAGAAAAGAGCCAATTTCATCTTTGTTAAAGTATCATTGCACATACTTTATATCTCCAGATCTGTACAGATAATATGATACC